CTCAAAGAAATTGCAGCTCTTAAATCTGAACAAGTTCGTGCGACTGCTGTGATTAGTTCTCTTCAAGCGGATAAACAGTTGTTGATAGCAAAGTCAGATGAATTGCGCTCAGATATAACAATGCAAAAATGCCAAACCGAAGAGGTCACCTCAGCCCTTGCGCTGCTTACGGCTGAGATAAAAGACCTTCGTGCGTGTATGCATGCGTGTGGGTGCCATGACGCGAAAAAGAAAAATGCAAAAAGCAAAGCAAAACATCACAACCTCGCTCCTTCACCCGCTGCCGCGAAGTCAACAGTTTTGCCCACTCCTTTTCCTGTTTACAGTGTCGGTAACTCGTCTTGCTCTAATGATATTCAACTGTCTGGTGCTTCTGATCGCCTGCCTGCTGCTTTGCCGATTGACTCAACCGAACAGTGTAATTTAGCCGCTCCTGCGCCGACACAGTCAACTGATCAACGTATCTTACGCGCGTCTACGTCCGCTGCTGCTGCGGGCGCTGGCACTACTGCTAATGCCAACATCGCTATGCCTTTTTCGTATGCTAACGCCGCTCGCTTATCTATACCTGTTGCGCATGATTCTACTTCTGCTTCTGCTGTTAATGATGACAACCACCCCAGTCGGAATTTTAAGACCATTGCTGGTTGCAATGCTAGTAGTGAGTTAGAAGTTGCACCACGAATAAAATGGCTACACCTGTCGTCGTTTATGAATTCGATCACCGCTGATAACATTGTCGCATATGTTTCGAAGAATACGTCCATCGATGCTAGTTTGATATCCTTCCATATGCTTGTGAAGAAAGATACCGATGTTAAAACATTAAAACGTGTCAATTTCAAGATAGGAGTTCCATCTTTACACTACGCGTCTCTTCTCAACTCTGCGATTTGGCCAGCTGACGTAAATGTGCGTCCGTTTGAGTTTTTTCAGAAAGCAGTTGCGGCACAACCAACACCGTAACTGATTCCCTTCTGTGTGAACCTCTTTCTAAGTCTCTAAGGATATATTTTCATAATGTATCTGGCCTAAGAACTAAATCTAGAACAGTTTTTAATATGAGTGCTCACCTGGACTATGACGTATTCGTTCTTATTGAAACATGGTTGAATGCTGATTTTTGTGAAAATTAATTTTTCGACCCCAATCTATTTAATGTATACCGGAAAGATCGTGATTTTATTAAAATTGGATTGTCAAGGGGCGGTGGTGTTTTAGTCGCTGTTCAGCGTCGGTTTCGCTCATCACTCGTGCATTTAGAAAATGTGGATTCACTTCTGGACCAACTTTGCGTTGTGGTACAAGGTCACACGAATATATATATCTGTGCGTCCTACATTCCACCGTCCAGTGTTGATAGTCTATACAAAGGGCATGTTGACAACATAACGGCTCTCGTCTGCAAACATTCTGGTAGCAACTTTTGTGTTCTTGGAGACTTCAACTTGCCTAGTATAGAATGGTCATATGTAGATAGTAACTATGCCCTAATTCCAAAAAACATTAATAGCTTTTCGGAATCCTACTTAGTTGATTGTTTTTTAAGTTTAGGTTTTATTCAAATAAACAGTTTCTTAAACAAGTTTTTTAGAATTCTGGATCTTGTATTCATAAGTGATAACATGCATTTCACACTTCATGAATGTCTTGATCCTTTATCAAGTTCTTGTAATCATCACATACCACTCATTATTGGTCTAGAATTTTACAGTTTTAAAAGTCTTCATGTTAGTAATCAAATTAGTAGTTTTTGCTTTAAACGTTGTAATTTTAATATTGTGGATAACGAAATTTCTCTATTAGATTGGGATTCCCTTTTTACTGGAATTAATATTTCTTCCTGCTTTGATACATTTAAAACAAAGATGTATGAAATATTCTGCGAAAACGTACCACGTGTTAGCAAGAAGAGCTATAGGGTTCCTTGGTATACGAGAAAATTAAAAAGGCTAAAGAATTTGAGGAACAAGTTTTTAAGAAAATTTAAATTAACAAGTGCCCAAGCGTATAGGGGTAAATATTTGCGCTATTCCAAGAAGTTTAAACAGTTGAGTAAAATTCTCCAGCGAAATTATATTCGCAAATTTGAGTCTGATATTAAGTCTAATCCAAAAGCTTTCTGGCGTTACGTTAAGTCCAAAAAGTCCTGCTCTAATATTTCCTCTGAGGTATTTTACAACGGGAGTTATGCTTCCTCCACCCAGGAGGATCTTTTCGCTGACTTTTTTAGTTCTAACTTTGATCCATCGTCGGAACATCTGAGTGATAATTTTTGGAAAACCAATTCCACCATTAACTTTGGCTCCCTTTCGCTATCTATTGAGGATGTTTGGGATGGAATTCAGGGCCTTAAAAGCTCTTCGCTTGCGGATATTGATGGTTTCTCATCCTATCTCTGCAAGAATTGTCCTGCCCTTACATATCCTCTTTTGCTAATTTTCAATAAATCGTTAGAATCAGGCGAGTTTATTGATGCGTAGAAAGTTACGTCCATCACACCTTTATTCAAGGCTGGTAATAAAAAAGATGTTGCTAATCATAGGCCTATTTCCAAACTTTCTACGACATCGAAGCTATTTGAATATATTATCAAACAAAAGTTGTATTTTGCCGTAAAGCGTCGCATATCTAAAACCAGCATGGTTTCATGGCTGGCAGGTCAACCATCACTAATCTTGCTGTATTCACAGAATTTTGTATGTCTGCTTTCAATGACAGATTCCAAGTCGATACAATCTATACCGACTTTTCCAAGGCTTTTGACAAAGTCAACCATTCAATTCTAATCTCCAAATTGCGCAGTTTTGGGTTTCATTCCATTTTTTTAAAATGGATAAAGTCGTTCCTTTCATGCCGTAAATGTGTAGTTGTTGTTGATAATGTTTCTTCCCAACCTTTTGTTGCCTCTTCTGGTGTCCCTCAGGGCAGTATTCTGGGTCCATTACTCTTCATCATTTTTATTAATGATATATCTGATTGTTTTAAATTTTCTGAATTTATTTTATATGCAGACGATTTAAAAATTTTTAAAACAATTTCAAGTCGATCTGATTCAGCTAAGCTCCAGTCAGATCTCAATAACGTTGTGGCATGGTGTGATAAAAATCGCCTTCAGCTAAATATTCGGAAGTGTTCTCACATAACGTTTTCTAAGTCTAGGCAGTTTTTGGCTACTTCATACTTAATTAAGGAATCACGTCTCACCACTTTGGATGAAGTTTCTGATCTGGGAGTAAATTTTGATTCAAATTTCCTATTTCTGAGTCATTTAAATTATATAATTTCTAAGTCATATTCTACACTTGCCTTTATTCGGCGCTTTGGTTCAGACTTTACTGATCCTTACACCCTAAAATTACTATTTACCTCGCTTGTACGATCTAAGTTAGAATATGCGGTCTTTATATGGAGGCCATATCACCTTTGTCACATTAATAGACTTGAGCGAATTCAAAAGAATTTTCTTCGTTTTGCTCTCAGATCGCTTAACTTTGCTGAACCGATTCCTTCGTATGATGCTAGATGTGCTTTAATATGCTTGAAGTCTTTACAAAATAGACGGAGTGTTCTTTCACTCTGCTTTATCTTTGATATTATCAGTCGAGAAATTGATTGTCCATTTCTTTTAGAGCGCATTTATTTTTACATTCCACAAAGAAAATTGCGGAGCAATGATTTATTCTTTCTGGAGCGAGTCCGGACGTTTTATGCATCCTATGCTCCGATTCATAGAGCATTGAAAGAATTTAATCAAATCTCAAATTCTTTGGCCTTTGATTTCTCGTCGCCTAAGCAATTGTGAAGCTCGGCCAAACACTAACAAATGTGTAAGCGCCAATCTATTATTATTATTATTAAGAAATTGTTTAAATTATCATTGAATGAACTATATAGTTAAGCTTGAACTTGTATCGTTAAGTATTTTTGTAGTAGTCTGTAAGAAATCATGTATTTCTAGATTTACTAGATATGAATAAATAAATAAATAAATAAACTCTTATCAGTCCAACACAAGCTACGCAGTCCACAAGATTGTTGTATCCAATTTGGTTTCGATTGGACAGATATATCCCATTAGGTAGAACTAGTTAAGCCTGGGGCAAACTAGTTTGACCTAAGATCGGATTTTACCGGTAACATATACATACATACATACATAGGCACTTGTAACTTACCCAGTCTTTATTTGACCTGCCACAAAAATTGCTAATGAAAACAATTTTCCTGCAAAATTGTGTAGATAGAGTATTTTGCTCTTGTAACAAAATGTTATTGCAGATAGTGGATTTTTCGAAATGAACATATAATACCATTAAAGCTAAATTTTAAGTTTAACATTATTGTCAGGGCTGAAAGATAAATAAGAGCTCACGTTACCATCAAAAACCAATTTTCATGAAAATTGCAGATAGAGAGTATTGAATATAAGCCCTCGATGTGATACTATTTTAGCATAGACCATCTTTCTGCGTAGGAGGCCTTCGGCCGCGCTTTAGGATTATAACCCTTACCCAATAGAATTCTCCTTTTGGTGTGCACCAACTGGGGCTACCGCCCCAGTGATGTAGCCTTGGGAAAGGATGAGGTAACTAGAATTCCCTTTCTGCGTGGTAAACCTGGGGCTACCGCCCCAGTGAGAATTTTACAAAAAAAAAGAGCATAATTCAAACCAAATTTCTAAATAAATTACGGACCAAAAATTACAAAAGTAGGTTCTAAAATAATGTGTAGACCCTTGACTACAAGTGTGTGGAATTTTTTTTGGATCGGGCCACCCCTTTGGACGGAATAGCCCGAAATAGTTGGGACCGCTACTAAACCCAACCCAATATTAATTCTCTAATCGAATTCTAATGTTGATCTCTAATGAGATGCGAATGTGAATTTCAAACTGCTCTTTTGCTTTAATAAAAAACACGCTTTGTTTGTAAAATTTGTGTTGAATGCATTTGCAATAAAATAATAATGAATTATTTGAACTTAAACCTTATTTATGACTCATTCATTTGGAATATTGCTTATTTACAATTAGTTGAATTTGCGTTGTTTCTCTAATCGTTCTCGAATCGAATTCGAATGTAGTACTCTAACTTCGTCATCGACTTGAGAATGATTAGATAAGTACCCTAGTTATTTAATGAAGAAATCCAAATTTCTCTAACGTTAGAGACTGTGTTTGCTGGGATATTCCATGGTGGAATTATTGCGCCATGTACATATTCCATGAATTTATTATTTATTTTTTCTGTCATTTGCAATTTGTGAAGAATGAATAGCTTCATCAGTGTGGGTATTTTCTTCAACTGCAAGTCCGGTATCTAATCTACTATTGTCCACTGGATAAAGCCAACGCTGATATAAATAAATCAAAAATACAACATCATCACGCAAGCAGGCCACTCTATGAGCCGTGGGCATAGTAATAATGAAAGCAAAAAAAATCATCTATAAATGTATTGAATGCCTTATACATAAAAGCTCTCCATGGCAGGGCTGCAACTGACTTTAGCTTATAGTTAACAAATAATTGGGGTAGCATAAAAAGAAAGCCAAAAGCATAGACTCCATTAACAAGAGAATTCAGAGTCCAAGAATACCAACTTTTATGTGGTTGGTACAAGAGAGAATAAACAGCACCCGCGATACACAAAGGATATAATAAATAACTTAAATATTTCATTCCTTCTTTGTCAAATTCTTCGGTTCTCTTTTCCGCACTTCTGCTTGTTTCTAGATCTTTTGACTGCATTCTTTGCAAGCCTGTGAGGCCTATTTGTAGTTTCAATATTTTTTTGCACTTCCATAACTCTATAACCACACCAAGTCCTGCAGGGATCAGCACTAACATCGATGTATTCTCGTCCAGTAAATACAGAAATATCACAATTTGAGAGAACGCACGCCAAAGAGTCGTACGCGTTGAAAGACCTTCATACGATTTTTTTCTCCGCCAGAATATAACGTCGTTCTTAAACGATAGGAAGTCAAAGAGTAGCTAGGGGAAAATAATAATTAGTAAAAATAGTGTTAGCCGATTTATTACTTACATGTACACTGGCAACAAATATAGTACCGCAGAGAAGGTAAGCATTCGTGTCAGAAAACATACCCTTTAATTCATCTATATCCTTCTTGGAGAATCCTATCGTCTCCATCATTTGCATAGTATGTTCGACCATTAGCATTAAACGCAATTTTCCGATGCCAATAGGCGTATAATGAAATGTTATTTTGAACTCGGTGGTATTCTTGGTAACTTCTACCAAATTTTTTAAACGTGTATTAAAAAAATCAGTCTTTAAGATTGGCATTATTTTGTGATTGCGATTAATCTGGATAAGTCTTGCCATCTCTGGAGGAACATCTGCTTTCGATAGTGATATATTGTCGGTAAGCAAATTGACGTGCACCTGTGACATAATATGTGTAACTGGCCTCATTGCATACACATAGTCACTACTCTGTTTTGGGTTTTTCTTATTGTTGTAGTTTTTTTGGGCTTTTATCTTTCTGTACATAATATCAACAAATTATTTGATTATCCTGGTTAAAAGAATACTAAACAACAAGAACTTACGCTATCGCCCAACAAATTAAATGCTTCTACTCGAGGAGTGGTATACTCTGTCAACCTGGTGGGAAGTATTACCGTTGGCCCGTCTCGTCTTAATGTTCTCCAGTCTAATGGCTCCCCTTTTAATGCTAGCACCACCTATATTTTACAATAGGGATTAAAAAAGCCCGAACAAAATATTAAAATACACATATGGGCATTTCTATGGCAGAAATTCATGAAAGCGAAAACCCAAAACGTTTTTTTTAAGTTTGTTGTTGTTGTAGCGGCTACAACAACCCCGCCCAGATCGGTTAATATCTCAGTCGTTGTCGTCATGTTCCACTAACGGCAGCGCTAAGAAGCCTCAATAGGGTCGGCGTTAGGGTTGAGGGGTTTTCCGGGCATACGAAGAGATGTTACGAGTCATGGGGTGTCACTCCGCATGCCGGACACTCATTTGGTATTTAAGTTAGTAATAGGACTTAGTTATAAATGTATTAAACCATATTTTCAGTCAGAACACTATATTCATTACCGTTAACATTGCTAGACTTCATTAAAAGTAGTGGCTACGAAATTTAAAAAAATACAGCCTCATTGCGAGAGCAGTGTCGAGTGCGAGTCGTTTTTCGAGGGTCGAATATTTCTGCAAGACAGTAGACAATGCCAACAGTTGTGTTTTCTTGGGTTATCCAATCACGATCATTTCTCACGGAAACGGTCTAGATCATTCTTATTGGGGTTGGCAGCACTAATTTTATACTACTAACACGAGGAAGACGAAATTATAAAAAATGAACTCACTAAATGCGGAAAAGTGTATTTAAATGAAATAATATTCAGTTAAACAAACTTGACTTGATGGTCACTTACAGCACAATTTTCTTTCCAATACTCCAGTATTTTGTTATTGTTCAATAAATGACTATCAGTGATCATCAAGCCAAGGTGCACGAATGGTATTTTCAGTCGAGAGTTCTAGCTTTAATTTAAGCCGAAGTGTAAGGTTCTAACACCTTTTGTTTTTTTTGCTAGAGCTTCTCAAATATTGCAAAAAACGCGATTTTTTGATACTTTGACCACGTTTTTCTCAAAATCTGGACGTGATGGAAACTTTTTACTTACGGATTCGTAATCAGCATGAAAAAGTCTATTAAAAACAGCTTTAACATTTTATGTTACAAAATTGTTTCCCATTTTTGTTGGCCTGTGTTATCAGTGCCACAAACCAAACAGAGCGGATCATAAATTGAACTGACCGTTCCCACGACAGCCGGTTCTACGTACCGGAATGACTCGGGTTTTACCCGACCCAGGGCTTTTGTTTCGGCGATCTAACCCCGTTTAGGGCGGCGAAGTATCTCAGAAGTTGTTCGTCCATAGGGCTACATTTGCTACGTACACTTCTGCACAGGGCCGCTGAGTATGCCAGAGACGACTACACCACAACTCCACCGCAGTCAAGGCCTACGGACTTATCGACAGTGGACGGCATCATTTGTGGTCCCCTGCTGCCCAAACAGAGCAGCCTTCACGGCTAACCACAGTCCACTTGAGCAGCTCAACATAAACTCCACAGCACCAAAACACAACAACACAATAGACCACACCACAACCGCGACAGACCATACAACAGACACAGCCGCACCACCACCCACACGCCGCCGCCAACAACTCCTTGTTCCTCCTACAATGTGCACGGTATGTCAGACCAGGATATTCCGTAACGTGACATTAGTCACGTGCAACACCTGCCTTACCTGGTGCCAGTTTAGGGCATGTTCAGGTCTGTGCATCACTCGAGATTGGACAATGAACTTCGAGGGCCCGTGTTGCGCTGCACGGTTACAAACCCCAATTGCGACGGCACCCACTACCACCACAGGGCGGCACCCTCCACATCAGCGCACACAGCCAATGGCGGAAAGGAAACACACATCCCTCACACCACGCATAACAACACGTCTCCCGAACCACATGAAGCTCCTTCAATTCAACTGTAACGGACTACAGAGCAAGATCGAGAAGATAACCATCTTCATGGGAAGGCATGGTATATTGATAGCTGCGGTCCAAGAGACGAATATGCACAGAAATTCAACATTGTTGAATTGCGCCAGATGCAACGCGCACCGTCGAGATCGCGAGCGAGATAATGGTGGTGGCTTAGCATTCATCACGCACCATACCGTGCAGTATCGTCTTATCGAAGCAGACATCGACCACAGGGATACCACCCTAGAATGTCAGGGCATTGCTATCCGGTGTAGTGGTAAGCAGTGCATGCTTCCACTCCGCAGAGCCTGGGTTCAAGCCCTGGTCAAAGCAACATTCGCAAAAAAAAATTTAGAAAAAAGGTTTTTTCTTAACAGCGGCCGCCCCTCGGCAGGCAATGGCAAACCTCCGAATGTATTGCTGCCAAGAAAAACAGCTTCTCATTGAAATACAAACGCCGTTCGGAGTCAGCGTAAAACTGTAGGTCCCTCCTCTAGGTGTGACAACATTAAGCCGCACGCCACAAATCGGCTATTTGACTATTTTTAGTGTATCTTCCAAACAAGAAGAAGAGAAATTTTGTGCGATATCACTTCATAAAAAGGGGGCCCAGTAGCTACTCTAATTCTTATTCACGAAGCCAAATTCAATAAAATGTTGTCACCAACAATTTCAACAACAACTGCTTTAGTGTTTTTTTTTGATAATGAGCTCCCAGTGGAGGAAAAACGAGAAATGGTGAAGGCACTGCAATTAATCGACCGAAACCTAAAATTCAGTGAAAATAGGGCAATTTCAAATCCCGTTCTCTTGATTGGCAAAACTATTAGAGATTTCGTGTCCTACAAAACTAAAAATTTCTTGTTGTTGTTGTTGTTGTAGCGGCTACAACAACCCCGCCCAGATCGATTGATATCTCAGTCGTTGTCGTCAAGTTACACTAACGGCAGCCCTAGGAAGCGTGCAGCTCTATCGGGTCGGTCCACAAGGACAAAGCCGTTAGGGTTGTCGGGTTTTCCGGGCATGCGAAGAGATGTTCCCAGTCATGTGGGGTCTCTCCGCATGCCGGACACTCATTTGGCATATCCTCATTCAATCTACTTAGGTAGGAGTTTAACCTGCTGCAGTAGCCAGAGCGAAGTTGGGCTATTGTTGTTCGTGTCTCCCGAGGCAGATGAAGCTCCGTCTCGTCTATGTCCAGTGGTGGTGGTGCCTAGAACGGCATTCACAGGTCTAGAGTCTACATAACTCGAGACTGACTCCCTGTGAATGCCGTTCAGGGCCAGTCGGTATGCTGACGGGTCCAAAGGTTGCTTGATGAACCTCTGGACTTCGTCCGTCAGTTCATATAGATGCCTCCTGACGTGCCTAGGCGAGGGCTCCTGTGCAAGCAGCTGTCGGCCGGCCTATTGCCTTGTATGTTACCAGCAACGTTTCTTTGTCTTTGCCCCAAGTACTGCCGGCTAGCGACTTGAGGACCTTGTTGCGGCTCTGTACTTTATTGACAATAGCGGTTGCGTGCGCAGAGAAGGAGAGCAGGCTGTCGAATGTTACTCCGAGTATTTTGGGATTATTCACCGTCGGAATTGGTGTGTCATCGACGTGAATTCCCAGCGGTAGCCTGACCTCCTTCGTGCAGGTTGTGAACAGGGTCGCAGAGGATTTCGTAGGGGAGAGGGCTAGACACTTTGCAGTGAAGAAGCGAGAAAGTTCGGAGAGATACCCGTTTACTTTCGAACACAGGTCATCAATACCATTCCCAGTCGCCATGATCGAGCAATCGTTGGCGTAAGAGACAATCGAGACTCCCTCTGGTGGTTGAGGGAACTTTGAAATGTAAAAGTTAAACAGTAGTGTTTTATTTTTCCAAGTTTACTCGATTTGTCTCTAAACATTACCGACGAGTGTCGACCACTCAGATAATTTGCCGACCACCGTTTGAGCCTCTGTGGGAGAGAGGAAGCCTCTATATCTTCTAGTAGCGTAGAATGGCAGACGGTATCAAACGCCTTTGACAAGTCCAACGCTTCTAGAATCGTTCTCTCACAGGGACGGTTTCCGTTAAGGCCACGAGTTATCTGAGTGTTTATGGCGTTAAGTGCTGTTGTTGTACTGTGCACTTTACGGAAACCATGTTGATGCTTCGCTGGGGTCAAGTGGCCACCTGAACTTCACCGCAAGTGAAAGCAAGGCGACGCTTGGCTTTGTCCACCGGAGGATGCGGTATGAACTGCCGGCTAAAATAGCTCGATCATCGCTCCGGGTCCGACGAAGCATGGTCGCCGAAAGAAATTTCGACTCTGTCGTCGTGCTTCGTCAAATTGGACAGTGACCTCACGGTTGACCAAAGCTTACTCACACCAGAGGTGAAGTTACAGGTCTTCAGATGCTCTTCCCACTTCTTCCGCTTATGTACGTTTACTAGTTGCCGAATCTCCGCGCTGAGATCCCTGATACGGGGATCTCCGGGATCGGCCTGACGAAGGCTGTCACGCTCATCGGCTAGGACAGCCGCTTCAGCAGGGAAATGTGGACGCGCGTCCGTAATACATCCCGTCGGTACGAAGCGAGCTGCAGCAGCGGTGACAGCCCTGCGGAACTTACGTTCACCAAGGTGGACGTCGGTTGGTATGGGGAGAGCAGCGAAGGTGTTTTCAGTAAATTCCGCGAAGCCTTTCCAATCAGCTTTAGAAAAGTTGATATATGTTCGGTGCTCCGCGGAAACAAAGTCGGTTGGTTTATCGATCGAGATGACTATGGGCAGATGGTCTGATGCCAAAGTCAGCATAGGTCGCCATGATATGCTGTTTATCAGACCAGCGCTGACTATTGTCTGGCGAGCTGCAGCAGCTGCCCATAATCCTGGTGGGTGCGTCGTCGTTCATTGTGCAGAATGTCGAATCGTCTATCTGCTCAGCCAGGTCAGTTCCCCTACGATCATTTGACAGGCTTCAGTGCCAAAGATTGTGGTGCGCACTAAAGTCACCTACTACCATACGGTTTTCACCTCTGAGGAGCGCACCTATGTCAGGGTGATATCCTGCCGGGCAGCAGGTGACAGGGGGTATATAAACGTCAAATATTTCGAGCTCAACATCGCTGCGGTCGATGTCTGCTTCGATAAGACGATACTGCACGGTGTGGTGCGTGATGAACGCTAA